AGTCTGTTAATCAAGATATCATAATAAATATTTTAGTGCTAAGTAATGTAGTTCACTACAGATCTTCAAAATGCATAAAGCAAAATTGGTTAAGAATGAAAAGAAATAGTTATATTCCCAATTGTAACTGGAGGTGTCAGTGTTCCTTTTTTTGGTAATTGATCAGACCAAACTAGAAGATAGAAAATCTGCAGTGACATGAAAGACTGGAGAAGACTAGCAATTGCCTTGATTTAATTAGCATTTATAGACTAGTACACACAAAACCAACAGAATGCATATTCTTTTCAAATACACATGGGGCCTATACTAGGTCATAAAACAAAAGAAATATATTTAAAAATATTGAAATCATAAATCTGTTCTCTAATAACATAATGAAAAATAGAAATCGATTATAGAAATAAACCTGGAAAATTTTCAGATATTTGGGTGTTAAGTATTTAGTTCTAAATAACTCATGATCAAAGAAGAGATTACAAAAAGAAAAATAGAAGATATTTTCATTTGAATAAAATGGAAATGAAATGTATTAGGTTTGTTGGATACACTTTAAGGAGTTCTAGTGAAGACTTTAGAGATTGAAAAACTTACAGTAGAAAAGAAGAAAAATCTAATAATGTTCTAAGTGTCTACTGTGACAGGCTAGAAAAAAGGGTAAATTAAGCCCAAATAAATAAATAGAACAAACAGCAGGAATCAAAGAAATGGAAAGGAAAAAATAATAAGAGATGATCAAAGACATAAAAAGTTGCTTCACTGACTATCAATAAAATTGACAAACTTCTAACTAGACTGATTAGATGACTATTCATCTAAAACATTCATATTTTCCAAAGTCATACCCTTTCTTAGGTCAGTTCTTATCTAAATTACTGTTTATTATGAGGTTATAAAGGTCTGGTCTGGTCACCTTACATCAATTTAGGAAAACTCTGCAGGGCCAGCCCATCTCCAGAGCTGCTGAGGTCTTGCTGCCCAATCCTGCGTCTTTCAACCTCACAGAATGGCAAATTCCAAGAAACTCTCCAGTAGACCATTTGCACATAAACCTACATTCCCAAATCTGTTTTCTAGAGAACCTACCTCCAATAGGTTTATTCAAAAAATGTTATATATTTTTTAATAGCAGGATGCCTGCTGTTTCAAATTATCTAGATTTCCATAATCAATATAAAATGCTAGTTGAATATGTCTTGTTTTCCAACACTCTCTGACCTCCCTGAGTCAAGCAGCTCCTCATGGAAGCAGGTAGCTCAGGGAAGGTAAGACTTTAAATATGTTAAGACAGAGTTGTGGTGGAGTTTTATCCCTAGGCAGGTAGAGAAGTATCTGTATTACCTTTGTAACAGTTGAGAGAGCAGAGAGACCAGTCAATAGAGTGGGACCAGAATCCAGAAATAGATCTTCATGTATATGAGATGTAAGTACACAAAAATGTATAATTTCAAGTTAGCAGAGAAAGAAAGCAGTCTTCTACAATTAATGTCACAGCTATCTTTTCTGGAATAAAGAAATTTGAATAAAAATAGAAGCACCAGACACCACAATATATTCCAAATGCTCTAAACATCTAGGTATAAACACAGAGCTATATAAAGTCACAGGAAAACATTGACCTAGAAAAAATATTTGCAGATATTTTGCATGCATTTAGTTAATACATTTAACATATGTCCAAAGTATTTACAAATTAAGAATAAATGACCAAAGGGTTCATTTAACAATTCAAAACAGATAATTCAAATAGAAGAAATATACATGACCAATAACATCTGTAAGAACAGATGGTGAACCTCACTGGTAATTAAAGCAATACAAAATCAAAATAAGATTCAATCATTTTCACTGTCAGATAAAGGCAAGGAGCTAAAGCCACAGTAGTGAACTACACACAATACTTGTGCACACAGAGTTTATGAAATGTGTAGTAGCTAAAATTTTATTTTATTATTATTGAATGAAAAGGTGTTCAAGATGCATTATTAAATGTCAAATCAGTAGGCCATGAGAAACTTTGCACAGCATGATTTTGTTCAAAGAAATCTAGCACAACCAATACATACATTAAGAGGAAGGATTGAAAGATGATAACCCAAGATGTCAGTGATCATCTCTGGAAAGATAATGGATGACATATCAATGTGTGATATGTTTGTGGTGTTGAAACCAGAGTTTTGAGATTAAAAAAACTCCATTTTTTTTTTGCTTCTGCTGGCAGGTGGGGTCTGTGTAAGGCTGCAGGCCTCTGCAGCCAAGAGGTGTTGCAGCTCTTAATGGAAGGCCAAGCCCTCCCATGTTGCAGCAGACCCCAGCAGCTCACCCTCATTGTCTCATGAATTGGAAGAATGAAATCCACAGACCAGGATGAGTGAATATAAGAGTGGGATTCATTGAAGAATAGAAACGGGAACAGACTTTTGCAGTGCAAGAGGGGTCAGTATGCCAGTTCAGGAATTGTCTGAGTATGCTAGACCAGGAACTTACATGGACTTGGGTCACCGCTATTTACATGGATTTGGGTCCAAATTTATGCTAATTAGAGTTTGGAAATGTACTAATGCTATTGGCAACTCCAGAGTCTCGACTTCATTCTTCAGGTCTGCCCCACTTCCATTTTCTCACCTTGAATCACAAAGTAGGAGGTTGAGGTTATGGGCTGGTCTATTTTAGCAGGATGTGGGCTGCAGTGCTGTGTGGATTGGGCTTCCCCAGCAGGTAACCATACCATGTCCAGGCCTAGCCGCCTAAGGGTGATAGGCACTCCCAGAGCCTTAGGACTGCCACATCTACATGGCCTTCACCAGTGCTTGCCCAGAGAGCTCCAATCCACTAGGGCTGACATTATGCTGTTCCACCAATCCACTGCTGCTTCTTGGAAGGGAACAGTAACCAGCTGTGGGCTTGGTGGCCAGGGAGCTGTGTCAGTATGCCTCAGAGTTTTCTACAATAATCTTATTACTTTCATAAAAAGGGCAAGATAGAATGAAACCAATAGCACCCATTTTGTTTCGAGGTGGGTGGCTGGCAATTAGCATTCTATCATAGATTTTGTGTTTCTGAATCCCAGGACAGAAAGTGGAGAAAGAATGTACTGAATTTTAAAACTTTCAATGAACCTTCTGATTTTATCTTCTGTTTCAAGTAAATCCACCTTATAAGAGGCAGAAAATTCTTCTTGATACTGGTAATAGGGGAACTGTTTGCATTAAATGAGACTTTCTGCGTACTCCTAAAAGACATTATTTTGAGGATTGGGGAAAAAAGTTGGGTTAGAATTTTCAAGTCAAGATTCAATTTTAAACCAAATTCCACCCCTCCCCCAAAGGAGCATATCCCTGGGATAATCGTAAGCATTGTGCTTCTTTTGAGCTGGTAGTTTTGCTTTTGACTAGCTTGCAAGAAGTGTTGTCATTATGGAGGGATGAATAGTGATTCAACCAGTTAGAGCATGATAATGGTATACAAAGCCACCAAGGCTGACTTTCTGCCTGTTTTCTCAATAGATTTTTGCCCATTTATTAGCAGAGATTAATTCTTCTGGTTACAAAACAATCCAAATGAGTTTGTGTGATCCAGGTAAGGCACATAAGGATATCAAATTCATTTCATCTACAAAATAAATACAGAAACTTTAATGGTTTCTATTACAGAAACTTTTATATTGAATTTGAGGAATTTATATTCCCATGGAAGAATACTACAATATTGCTGAACTGAATCCTTTCTATAAGCTCTATTAGTAATATATTTAAGAAAATTTTAAAAATTAATTCAAATAAAGAAATCCATTCACTTTTGTAAAGCAAACCCCAATCTGCATTGCGTTTTCTGTTGAAGGTTAGTTCCACTAGGTGGAGGCATTTGCTCAGTTTTGTGGTTCACACTAACACATATAACATATTAAGCAGAATATTTCAGAAACAAGCCAAAAGGTCTGGTGGTTTGTATTGTAATAGCTTGGCAATGTACACACATTGCTACGTGGATGCTCATAAAGGAAAGTAGCTGGTTTCTAGTATCTAATTTTTTTTGGTTTTGTTTAACAGTTATAACCTGAAAAAAGCCATTATAGGTTGAATACAATTGTAAACCAAGCCTCTTAAGTGTCTCATTTATTTGTTAGACACTTTATGCATTCAATAGTGATATATTAATAAAAGGTCTATATTCTGCTTTAATTATTATTTTAAATATATTTTATTTAAGATGATGATGAGTATTAGATAAATATTTTTTATATATAATGCTTTATGGCAGTAACTTCATGTAAAATGATACTTCTTCAAATAATAGGAAAACAAATATTCTCTTTGAATATGCCATACAAGTGACAAAAATATATGAGATAATCCTTCAAGTAACTGAAATATAAAAGGCCTAAAAATATTATGGGGAAAAAAATTTCTTTTCAACTTGAAGCTTTTTGTGGTTATCTTCTTGGGTGTCTACTGTACTGTTTTTATTGTTACCAACATTATATGGAAACAATATCTTTATAGTTAAGTAGGAAATTCATCTGTTCCTCTTTAGCTGTATTTGAAGTTATAATATTCTGTCATCAGTTAATTGACTTCAAGGAAGTAAGTCTGAAAAATTGAACTTTGTGAAAACAACCTTATTCTCTTTTTTTTGCAATTGATTTTTAGTCTTCTATGAGCACTATTGTTTCTAATTTTATTGTTTTAAAGATACTGTATTAATTGTCTACTGTTGGTCTCATAAATTGATTAAAGACCTACAGACTTTTGTCTTCCAACCCTTTAAAGAAAATTTAGTGGTTAACATTGTTTCATTTTTTTTAGTCTCATATTCATGGTCAAGGACAGACGGAATCAGATGTGTATAAATGCATTGTTAGAAAGCTAGCTTTTCATATCTAATAGCTGTGTCTCATTTTAAGACAAAACATTTAATTTGTCATTTAAAACAACTCCTTGGTATACCCTGGAGAAAATATCTCACTTGCTCACATATCTATTAATTGATTTTCTCCTTAGGATGAAAGCCTGGCCCGCCAGCTGGTGGAGCTTGGCTACCGAGGGACTGGAGAGATAATAAAAAGGGCAGATTTTGAAGCAAGGAAGGCAGCTATAGAGATTGCAAGGCTGGCTGAAAGAACTCAGAAAAAGTAAGTGCTCATTTCCAAATCCAGATTTTGTTATATTCTAGAGTCTCTGGAAAAATCCCTCCTCTCCTTTTTTTTTTTTTTTTTTCCTTTTGGCTTTGCTGTAATTCAGAAAAGTTGGCTGGAGCAGGTTAAACTTGGAATGCCCTAAAGCATGTGTTTTGCAGATCAGGAACTGGAGGAACTGTAACTTCTTGCAATAAAGTTACATGCAACTTTGAGCTACTAATTTAAGAAATATAAATACCAAAATGTGATAATCATACCAATAAAGTCCTGTTAAAAAGTAACTCAATATTATTGGTTTTATGCATGTATATACTAAAAATATAGGTGACTTTTGCCTTAGCACTGTTTGTACTTTTGAGGCCTATAAACATTGACATCATTTATATTCTAACATTTTTCTAAATATTGGTTCATTTACCTGTATTAATAATAGTCTTGTTAATGTGACTAATAAAAAGTTATAATAAACATGACTCTAATAACATACATTAAGTATATAATGAATGAGAGGTATTCCTAATGTGAACTACACCAGACTGGTAAAACAAATTCAAGAAGACTTGACAAGGTGATCATCTATTTGAACTATTAAGTTGTTAATGTTGAAATGGATACTTACGTAGATATCATTATATTAGTCTTAGAGAGCATCTTTAAAAGTACCTGGTAATTATAACTAGAAATGTCCCCTTTACTCATTATAAATGATCAACATTTGATAGATGTGAATTGGTCCTGGGAATGTGGAATTTGAAGTATTTCAGTGATTATTGTGTTTCAGAACCATAGATTATTGTAATTTAGCATACTGACATTTGAGAATTTATTTTCTATTGCTGCCATAACAATCACTACAAAGTTAGCGGCTTAAAATGGCGCAAATTTATTTATTCCCAGTTCTATACATACACTGTGGTTTAGCTGGATCTTCTCTTCAGTATTTCACAAGACTGAAATCTGCTGTCAGCTGGACTGAGTTCTTGTCTGGAGGCTCTGAGACTGACCTGTTTTCACACTTATCCAGAGGGTAGGCCAAGTTCAGTTTCTTGTAGTGGTAGGACTGAGGTCCCCATTTCCTTACCAGTTGTGGTTCTGCTTGTCATTTGAGGGCTGATCTTTGTTCTTAGGGGCTGCCCACATTCCTTCTCATGCTTTCTATCTCCCCTTCCTCTTCAGCAATAGTGGGTTTAAGACCCCCTTACCCTTCAGATATCTCCAGGTTCCCCATTGGAAGCATCTTTAAGGGCTTTTTTACTGGACCCATTAAAATGATCCAGAATTATCTCTCCATTTTAAGGTTTAAAACTTTCATTAAATCTTTTGGCATATAATCTAACATACTCTTTAATTCTTGGGATTGGGGAATGGATATCCTTGAAGGAGCATTCTGCTTATCACAGGAAATTTATATAAAACTTCAATAACTTATTGAACATAGTTACTCTTTTATTCTTAACAAAATTATACAAATTGTATGGGTATAATTATATGTCTCATATGAAAAACAGAGGTAGTTCTATTTTTCTGTGAGGTAGTTCTATTTTTCTGTGACATGCCTGTCAGGAATAGAAATGCAAAGATTTTTGTGTGATTTTGTCTGGAATTTATGTATATTCATATATGATTCTATAAGAGATATAACCAGTTTAAATCAAGAGTAGTCAGTCATATTTAAATTATAAGTTCTATCCTTGTCATAAGTCCATTTTGTGTTTAAGGATCAAAGTGGGTATTTCTTCTATGTGATGGTCTTTTTAACTGTCCAGAGCTGGAAGTCATCAGGCTACTTAAGTGCCAGTCATGGGAGGCTAATCCTTACCCAGTGCTTCTAGGATCGGAAGGCTCTTTCATCTGCAGATCTTCTCTGGTTGCCTTTGCAATGGGATGGGTCCCATATGTTGCTTTTTGTCTGCTGTGGGAGTCATTTGCTATTCTTTGTCAAGTGTTGTTGACAGCATGGCCAGCAGAGGGTGTCCTAGAGCCAAGTATGTCCTGTGCTTATATTCATTGGAGGATAACTGAAAATATGCATGGGTATCTGACTATATGTGTATTGATACCAACTCAGAAACACTTTATTCTACTCCCAGATTACCTTACATTAACTGCATATGAGAAACTTCAAGTAGATCACAATCTTTTCGTAATCACATCGCACACATTTCAAGAAGTGCTGGTATCCAGAAGTATGTTCCTTCCAGCAGCTTTATAAGAGAATCTGGAGGGAGGAAAGCTAACAATACTGGAGGGAGATATTTTAATGAGTGGAGGCCTCAGAAGAAGACAAAAAGTAAAAAAAAAGGTTTTATTCTATTATTCACATAGTGCATTGGGATTATGCTAGCTAGGTTGGTGGGATACAATAGAACACGATTCTGCCCTAAGAAGTTTGAGTGCTGGATAAGTAAGGAAAATTATATTGTTGGTGGGAATGGGAAATGGAAAACAGTTTTGCAGTTATTCAAAAAGTTAAAAAAAGAGTTACCATATGACCCAGCAATTTCAAGAATGTACATAATAATTCACCTAAGAATGTACCAAAGGGTTCACTTAAGTGCTCAAACCTGAGTGTTCATAGCAGCATTATTCATAGGAGCAAAAATGTGAAAACATCTCAAAAACGCATCAGCTGACAGATGGATAAAAATCCTGGTATATAAATATAATGGAATCATACAAGGCATGAATTACTGTTATATGCTACACTGTGTATAAATTTTGAAAACAATAGGTTAAGTGAAAGGAGCTAGATTCCATTTATATAAAATGTCCTAAGGAAGTAAATTCATAAATGCAAGTAGTTTCATGGTTACCAAGGGTGGGAAGGAAGGGGGGATAGAATGACTGCTATTGGATATGGGGTTTCTTTTGGGGGTGATAAAATATGTAATTAGATATTATTGATGATTGTTTAACTTTGTAAATATACTAAAAACCATTGAATTGTATACCTCAAAAGGGCAAATTTTATATTATGTTATTTATATTTCAATAAAAAGTCAATTACAACAGAAGATAAGAAATGCAATTATATGTACTATGACAGCACCCTGAAGTAACACTAAGTCAGGGTTTAGGGAGGATGTTGAAGAATAGGGAAAGCTTTTCCTAAGGTACAACTGCTAAAGTGAACTCATAGGATGGGAGATAATCAGGTAAAGAAGGATGTTAAGATGAATATATCACTATGCCTCGATTTGCTTATAAAAACCACTTCTTTACAAATCCTGGTCTCTATCTCTGTCTTAATTTGTAATCCCTTTGCTAAGGCATTTCCTCCTTGAAAGCAGTACTGTTAGAGAGCACTCATTTCAACATTTGTTGGGTTTTGTTGTTATTGGTATGGGGTGGGGATGGGGTAGTGAAGGTGGAGCAGGTTTTGCCTTTTCCTCAGGCTTTACTTTGAAGTTCCACTATTACGTGAACATATCTCATTTCTTCTCTACTGAGATTCATGATATCTTTTTCTATTAATCACAAGACAGAAACTACCAAGTGTGGAAAGGCGAATGGTAGTTGTTTAGTTGATGCCCTTTTGCCAGGACAGAGTTATTCTCTGTCTCAGGGGCTGGCTAAGGTAGCTGCCAAGCAGAAGCTCCAGAGAATTTCCATTTGCAGTGAGAAGTTCAGCTGATCTCCATAATGTAGGAGAGATGGACCTTGACAGCTACACCAGCTGAATATTGGGTTCCTTCTAATTTGTAATTTTAACTGTGTCATCCCTCAGGCAGGACACTTTTCTGGGTGAACTTGTAAGACCATCAGTGTTCTCACTTGAAGTCAGTTTATCCTATTAGGAAATGAATTCACCCCTCTTAGAATTATCTCTGGGATAATGATCATATTTTACTAAAGTATGACATCTGAAACAGATGGTAGGAATATGTGGTAGTCCTGATAAGGTCCTAATTATACTGGAAGGCTATTGCCATCTTCTCAGAAGGCTTTATGATTAACCTTTGGGAATTCCTGTAAGAAATACCCTTATATAAATTTCGAATTCAAATATGCAGGGATCTGTGTGATCTTTTGTACTGAACGAAGAGGATCTGTATGGTTATTTAGTGTAAGGTTCTTGTGCCCTTTATCTTAGGGGATCCTAGTAAATGTAAAAGCTGGACAAGTCCCCAGACTTTCTGGTAGTATTCAATCTCATCAATTTATCATCTGTTAACTTGCACTTTCTGGTATGATTTGTACTTGATTCCTTCCATTTGGAAATGGAAATGGAAATATCTATTAATTGACAAAATGTTCTTTTTATTTTATGGAGGTGAAGTTGGAAAAAAGGTCAAAATGGGTTTCATGTAATATGGCTTTATCCCATCTAGTAGTTTTATCTTTACTTAATGGTTTTATAATAAAAAACAACCACATACTTAAGAATTAAATGAGAAATTTTATATAAGTGTTCTGTGAAATGATTTCAATTTTTTGCTTAGTTTCGGATATCATATTTCTTAAAAGTTGTATGTTAAAAGTTATTCTCTTTTAAAATCCAGATAATTCAGTTGTGATTTGTTGCAGATCAACATCTCCAGGAAGGTGACAGTAAGAGTGAAAAGTGCACAAGTTTTGCTTTGTCCCAAAAATCTTAGGTTGTATCTGCTTGCTTGTGGGAGTGCACATGTCTTATAGAGCCATATACCATTCATCTCTTGTTCTTCCTTTCCAAGCTAGGTGACAGCACTGATGGAATTAATCATTGTGAAGTTCTGTGGGGTGTCCATTATAATGGGACAGGAGAGTTATACAGCCCTGAGGATGACTGCAAGTGAATATTATGCTCTCTTCTGTGTGGATTCAAACTGATTTTGACAATTTCTGATTGGGATAGGAAAGAAGTTACCAAATCAAGAGCCACATGACATCTACCAGAAGCCACATAACTCTGTTCTTTCAAGTGGCACTGCAGCTGCAATTAGGACTACATGAGCTTGGGGTAGTCTACAGTCATTCTCCAGAACTCAGTTGGGGGATTGTGCCAATGGCCA